GTATGGCTCTATAGGTTGAGATTTAAGGTCCATGGAGCACACAGCCCTCCTCCTGTTTCTCTTTTTTGTACATTTGATAGCAGCAGAAGTATTTGGGTTGTGTGCGCGTCTGCCAATTCTGTATTATTATTATTAATTCATAAATAATGTTGCATGATTTGTTCCCACCAGAGTTCGTTCCCTAAACCTGTGAGCTATTATTATTCAATCTGTTATGATCTTCATATGAACCATTATTCTTTTCTGATATTTCATTTGCAAGTTGGTTAGGGTTACAGTTTTATAGTTGGAAAAATGGGAAAGTGAGGCACACGCGCGGGGATGGGGATGGGGAAGGAGAAGCATGTCGGCTTCCAAGTCCATTTGGTTGGTACACAGACAGTTTCCTTATTATTAATAATGAGTGGGTCCCATAATCTCTTTCCTGTTTCAAAGTTGTCGTCCAATCATATTCTTCCATTTCCCATTCTCTCACTCACTCGCTGTCCACACCCCTTATGTCACGTGTTCTCTCCTTTTCCATTTATTCTTTAATACTTTTTTTTAATAATGTTTAAATTATCACATTTTCCACGTCTAACTTTTGAGATTTATTTAATTTTGGCTTATTTCGGTGTCTTAAACTAATTTTTTTTATTACTAACAACAGCCCGGTGTTGTTCCCCTCTCCAATAGATATGATGAGATTTCACCATCCACATCCTTGGAGGCTAGCGTCCTCGCTACCACATTGTCTAGTGTCTGGCTCTGGTTGCTTTCTACGGTAAAGACGTAGATTGTCCTCTTGTGAATTTTATAGCAGAAGAAATCGGGTTAAACCACGAAGGTAGGAGTGAATCTGATTGTAAAAGCTCTCGGAAATCCATGAACAAACCTTGGTGTTCTTTCAGCATACGATTTCTCGTTTTGGTTTGTTTCCGTTCATAATCGATCGTCGAACGCTTGTGAGTGTAGAGCATGAGTTCCTCCAGCGAGCGTGGTTTTTGGTCTCAAATCTTCGACGACTTCTCCCTTCGACAACCCGAGCTCCTTGTTGCTTCCTCAACCAGTAAGCTCCCAATGTGACTGAGATCTTTTGCCGCTTGCCCTCTGTAGAAAGGGGTTTCACACCCTAATAAAAATTCGGTCCAATTTCCGTATCTAATTAGAGTTTAGAGCCAATTTGTATTCAGATTAAACAAGTCTAATTGTAATTGATCCATCACATAATGGGCCTTGTAATAACCAAGTCTTATATTATTCATAATTGCTATCTTATTCTATATCTCAATCCTAAACAACCTTTGAACAGCCCTTCTTCAAATGCCCTTGCTCCACCTTCCAATCAGCCGTTCAATTGCTCTGTCACAGCTTCCTCCCACAGCCACAGCCTTCGCCGCCTCCTCTTTAAGCTCTGCAGCTCGTGCTCTCAAGACATCACTCTCCATCAGCTCCTTAATCCTCCCACCAAGTTCCTCGCCCTTCACCACACATTTATGGCCCCATCCCCATTTTTCAACCCACATTCCAACCCCTTTCTTTGCAACCAATCCTGCATTGATCATCTGGTCCCCGTTTTGAGGCCACGCCAAAACTGGCACCCCCTTCAACGCCGCTTCCATCACCGAGTTCCACCCACAATGGCTCACAAACCCACCCACCGCTCTGTGCCCCAAAATTTCCTCCTGATTTACCCATTCCTTCAATACCATCCCCTTCTCCTCCAATTTCTCCATCAGTTCTTCCCCCACTACCTCCTCTAACCCCTCTTTGTCTTCCTTGTCCACCACTTTATCTTTCACTATCCACAGGAATTTGTACCCACTCGAAGCCAACCCAATTCCGATCTCTTTGATTTGCTCTCTCGAAGCGGCGGTCCGGCTGCCGAAGCTCGCGAAAACCACCGATCTGGGAGGTAACTTCTCCAGCCATTTTATGGGAGACTTCCCCTCTGGATTCTCAAACTCACATGGCAGCAATGGTCCTATGGGTACCACTGGCGGCAATCCATCCAGTACCTTCCCACTGTTGAGTGCAGCAACAGTATCTCCTTCCATTGCGTCCATCGCATTGATCAAAACCCCATTCAGTTCTTTGATCCTCCGACCATCTTGCGTAAAAATTTTGTTGAAGATGCTATTATCGACAAGCAGGGGAGGAGGGAGCGATGTTTTGGGAATTGAACCAATCGCAGGAATGTGAATCAAATCGCCAGATGGGTCAGACATTTTAACAAACGGGTAATAGGCAAAGAGAGAGAACATTATAGCAGAGGAGGTGAAGAGCACGTAATTGGGTATCTTAAGGGTCGCAGAAAGCACAAGAGCAGAGGAAATCAAGCTCACATCACAGACAAGGGCGGACAGAGGCGGAGAGAGGGCAGAAAGGGGAGAAGTGAGAAGATGAACCGATCGACGAATGGCTTCAAATTGAAGAAAAAAAGGGTCATCGGAGTTCGCGACAAGAGGGTCAAGAGATACGATATGGAACTTGAGCTCAGTGATTTGGGGGAAAGCAGAGACGAATCGGGAAATGAGTTGCGACTCAGCAGAAGAGACGGCAGGATGAGAAGTGATGAGGGTAAGCTTGCAGTGATGGCGGAGGAGAGCGGCAGCCAGTCTGAGAAAGGGAACAAGATGGCCCATGCCAGCACTTGGGAACAGAGCAACATGGGTGAGGTCGCCGGAGGGCTGATCGGAAGTTGACATTTCCGGAGGTTGAAGGAAGGGAAGTAGTAGAAAGGGCTATATAGTAAGGAGTAAAGGAGCGTGAATCTTGAATGGGAGTGATTAATGGACGGCATCAAGAGTAGGAAGGCGCAGCGCTATAGAGAGCCGCTTCTCCTACCTACCCCACACACACACACACACACACATACCTACCACACACACACACACACACACACACACACACCAAGAAAATCTTTAATTTTGAGATCAGCTTCAACAATTTTCCTAAAAACAGATTAAAACAGAGAACCCATCTGACAGAAACTTGAATTATGGATTATTTTTGTTCTCAAAGCATTCATTCAGTAGTTAAGCGTACAAAATAAGAGAAGATCAACGGAGCTATCAATGTTCATCAGCAGCAGCAAGCAAGGGGAAGCTTCCCTGTCTGTCTGATAATATCTGCTCTCTGCTTAGCCTTCAGAATCTCCTTCTTCTTCTTCTGCTCTGCTTTGGTTCTTGCTTCTCCTCCTATTTTCTTTATGAACTCCATGTCTTCCTCCAGCTTTCTTCTTCCCTTTATCCTCTTACTCTTCTTCATTCCCTCAGCCTTCAAATGTTTAAAACAGAGTCAATCACTGTTCATCAATATCGCCTCTGTCTCAATTGTTCTAACAAACATTAAACACAGACAAACTGTTCATGAACCTGCGATGCTTCAAATTTGCGCATGGCTTTGTCCTTCTTCTTGCTTTCCCAGTAACAAATTCTTTCGTCCACCTTCTGGTATCTGAAATTTTCTCCAGTTTTAGTAATGGGTATTGTTCGTTAAGATATGATAGGCAATGGAGAAGAACAGAGTACCTTTCTTGGATTTTACCCAGCTCTGCCTTTTCCCACAGATCTGCTTTCGTTTCAGAAGGCAGGGTTTGTGGCTTTCCAGGGACTGCTACTGCTCTCTCTGGTTCTGTTCTTCCGCCGCCGGAGATGTTGTTGATGGCGGCCGGAGAAGGGTTGGTTGTGTATTCTATTGGTCTCTGTTTTTCCTGTTCGGAGTTTACTGTCACCATATTTCTCAATCATTACATTCAAATCGAAATTTTGCTAAAAACCATATTTTTATGTCAGAATTGTAAACCATGTGGGTTAAAATTATATTGAAAATTTAAGAAACCTGAGAACGGCTGGGGAATCTTATCAGGTTCCGGCGCCGGACGTGGAGGGGGTGTACGATTGTCCTCCTTGACGTTCTTTGTCTTCTGGAACGACGACGTTTCAGGATGATCGACATTCTTTATGGGTCCCGATTCTTCAACAGAAAGAATGGCAAAGGCGGCGGCTGCTACGGCGGTTACACCCTCTATTCCGTCGTCGGGGAATTCATTCCCTCGACTCATTTGCCGCGAGAATTGCCTTCCCAACCAGTCCTGCACAAACCATAAACATTTTCAGAAACGCCGTTTTCTTGTCTAAATTCTAATAATGCTCGTCAACTTTTAAACTCTAACCATGCTAGTTCTTTATTTTAGAAAGTTCTCGTGAGATCCCACGTTAGGAAAGGTCGTTCTCGTGAGATCCCACATAAGAAAGTTCGTTCTCGGGAGATCCCGCGTCATCAATTGAAAAGAGTCATGAGATCCCACGTAAGGAAGGAAGTTCGTTCGTTCTCGTGAGATTCCATGTCATCAGTTGAAAAGAGTTTGAGATCCACGTAAGGAAGTTCTTCTCATGAGATCCCATGTGATCAATTGGAAAGAGTAGTAAAGAAGTTTGGGTGGTTGATCAACCAATAAGGGCATAGATATCTCTCCGATAAATGTTTTTTAAAAACATGGTAAAAAAGTCCGAAAAAAAAAAATCACAAAGTAGACCGTATCTAGTACAAATTTTACCTATGAAAGATCGGGAATTCCGAGGAGTCAAGTATGTCCGTCGTGTCGAGTCCAGGATACTCCGACCTGCAACCACTAGTTAGAGAGAGAGAGAGAGAGAGAGGGCGAGAGAAACAGGCTAGTTATTATATTCTTGAACCCAAAAGGATTCAATAAATACCCAATCTGTTTGAGATAATTAGCCCAGAAAATTGATTTCTTGTGTCCGAGGAAACCGGAAATTATAGTCATGGCGTAGTAGAGGAGACATCCAATTAATGGGTTCGGATCTTTGAAAATTTCTTCAAAAAATTCTTAAAGTGATCTGAAAGAACCCCCCTGATTCAGTTTCTTTTCGTTTGGATTTAGCATTTAATAGCTCTGGAGAAGCAACCAAGAACGGAAGAAGAAGAAGAAATGAACAGCTAAAATCTCCTAATCTGAAACGCTAATTCTAAAACCTATCTAAAAAGCAACAAACTCAGGCGCAAGCAGCTGCTTTGAAGTCTTTAATGGTGACAAAGACGTAGGAATTAGGGGCGACTGACACGGCAGAAGTGGGATCCACCAGCTTGGGCGACATGCCGGGAATGTCCAACTTGGGTGTCAGCTGCAGAGGAGATCCGTTGAGGAGCATCACGTCGCTTTGAATATCGCCGTCTTTGGGACTCAAGTGGTACTCTTCTCTTGCCTGTAATCGCCCGCCCATGGCGTTGGGATAAAGCCTTCTTTCGCTCACAATCTTCACATCATAGCTCGTCGAGTTCGACATGTTGATTAGAAGCACTGTCACGCCGTCCTGTAAACATAATAATAATGATTTTAAAAAAAAACCCTGTTTTTTATTTTTCTAAATATAAAAAGTTGAGAAAATTACGTTGTTCTTGGTGCAGTGAGAATAGACACGAAGATATGGAGAGCTGTCGTGGGACGCCGACAGGACCTTCGTTCCCATTAGTCTGTGCCATAGAAGTGCGCTGTTTCCAGCCAACCAAAATGTTAATGCGCCATCTTGAATGGTCCAACAGACGTGGACTCTCTTCTAACCCGATTCTCCCCTCGGACAAAGTATACTATGGAGCCCAAGTGCAGTCAAAATTGACTGTTGTTTAGTAGATTTGATCTATAGTTAGGGGATAATACATACCAAAAGGTACGAAGAAGGAACGTGCATAAGAGTATTTAATCAATCCACCCTTATAACCTATTCACATTAGTGAAGCAACTAGATGCATAAGGGAAGTGCACGTTTGTGAGACCTTAGTTGGGATGCATAGGCTCCAGACTTGAGTTGAACATTTGAGAATTCTATTGACATTGTTAAGTTAAGCTCTCAAACAAAGTACATAACAGCCTCTTCTTGGGCTTATGAAACTCTCAAACAGCCTTCTCGATTCCTAGAGCTCTCAAACAAAGTACACATTTTGTTCGTTCATCACTCTTGACTACACTGATATGGTTATACTTTTGGTTCTTTTAAAAGATCTCGTATCAATAGAGATGTATTGGTAACCAATGATTAAACCCTTAATTAGGGGCTTATCTCAATCAAAATTTACCTGTAATAATCTGGATTAGGGATGAACGAAGTGGTATTAAGCAGGCCATAGTTTCCACCGATCAAAGCTTGTCTACAATAAACATGATGATTGAACGTGGCCGTCATCCCCAATTGATCCAAGTACCTTAATCAATCAAACAATAAACTAATTAGTGGATAATTCATTCATTAATCCCCAATTAAACCAGATTCACCAACCAGAAGCCATCAGCAAAGGTATGAGAAACAGTTCTGCCACCACTGTTGTAAGCGCCACCAGATTCACCAATCCAAGGCTTAGACCACGGCCCAAAGCTGGCTGAAACGTCCGCAGCTTCCTTGAAAGTTTGAGCAATTTGATCCAAAACATAAGGGTCTCGAACCTTATAGATAAGCTCAGGATCAACCCCTGCATACAAAATATCATGCACGAACTTTTCAGATCATGGGTAAGAACATCAAATCCGCCATTAATGGAGTGTCATATACCTGGACCAAGATTGTAAATATGGTGGGTGACTCCATCAACAGCGTTGGGTTCAGTGTTTTGAAGGAAGGTCTTGAACCATTCTCTGTCAAAGAACCCAGCAGGGCCCAGAATTTTGGGTCTGTTGTTGGCATCAGGATAAACTTCTTCCACTACCTGTCTCATGAGAGTAAGATCCTTGGCGTATTGATCAGCCTCAAGCCTTGCAGAAACCCCACTACCAGAAAGCTCATTTCCTGTTCATTTCAAACCCAAAACTCAGTCAAATCAGAAGGATTTCCCCTTCAAAGTAAGATTTTGGGCATTACCCAGTTCATAAAAGATCATTTCCTGTCCATTTCAAATCCAAAACTCAGTCAAATTACAAGGATTTCCCCTTCAAAGTAAGATTTTGGGCATTACCCAGTTCATAAGAATCGATTTGGTAGCCTTTAGAGGCAGTGTATCGAATGAAATCTCGAGCATTACGTGGATCCCAATCACCAACCCATGTGCCTTTTCCATCATTGGATGGTTTTTTACCGATTAGAGCGTTCAAACCAAACGTAATCCGAGCCCTGCAACAAAAAAAGCATCGACTTTTACTCTGTTTTTACTCTGTTTTTAATGATGTTTTTTGGTTGATTACTTACGAGGTTTTGTTGAACATATCGCTAAGTTCATCCCATCTTTCCATGTGGAAACAACCTTTGCTGAATCCGAACAAACCATCGTCTTGTTTCTTCATCTGAGGGCACTTTTTGACTGAGTTCCCAACTTTATAAATGATTTGATCTTGAAGTGACCCTCCAACTCGGATTCTCAGAGGATTGAACTCTGAAAAATTAGACAAACATAAGCGAATCCCACGAATGTTATCAAAGAACCAAACATGAAAATCGTGAATAGAAAACTACTAACCCTTGATTGCTTTAGACAAGATAATGTTCTGCAGATCCTGTGGAGGAAAACAGAGCAGCTTCCATGATCAGTTAGAAAACAGAAGAAGAATGAGATGATGGAGAAGAAAAGTATACCAAATTGAGAAGGCCAGCTTTTCCCCAGGGGCATTGGCCGTAATCACATTTATCAGAAGGCCACCAATCCAGAGTAGCACAGATGAAATCATTGTCGGTTTCAGCAATGGTGGTCACTCCTTTCACAGAAACTTTAACAAATTCGGCTAAGATAGAAGAGGAGAATGAAATGAAGCAAAGAGCGAAGAGGAAAGCTTTGGACGCCATTGTTGTTGTGTAGAAGCTTTTGTGAGTGAGATGAGCTAATAAGTGAGGTCTATTTATAGAGAAGAAAATGATAGGATTGTAACAGATTATTACATCACAATTTTGAATTCATGTGATTTCAAAAATTTGCTATTTTTAGAATGGATATATTTTTTTTATAAAGAAAATAATAATTTCAGTTCACCTATAAATTAGTTAGTGGCATATATTTGATTTTTTACGGTTATTTTTTATTTTATTTATGTTAATACTATAAAAAATAAAGGGCATAATCAAAATAATATAAAAAATAAAGGAAGCAACTCATGTTTAGAAGGAAATCTAAATATGAAAGCTCTCTAACTATCCATATTTAATACGAAAGCGCTCGAAAAATTTAGTGTCAATTGGACTCCGAGAGAGCTCACCCATGCCAAATTTAATAGGAAAGTTCACTCTCGGACAAATATAGTGTCAATTGGACTCTAGGAAAGCCCCCAAATTTAGGCCAAATTTAATAGGAAAGCTCACTCTATCAATTGGACTCCAGGAAAAGCTCACCCACGCCAAATTTAGTGTCAATTGCACCCTAGGAAAGCTCAGGCGAAAATTAATAAGAAAGGAAAGGTGTAATTGTAATCTAAGGAGAGGTGTAATTGTAATCTAGACCGTGTCAATTGAACAATTTAATATGAAAGGAATGAAAGGAGATGTGTAATTATAATCTAGACAGTGTCAATTGGACAATTTAATGTGAAAAAAGAACGAAAGGGAAAGGTGTAATAATAATCAAGACAATGTCAATTGGACAATTTAATATGAAAGAAAAACTCACGCCAAATTTAGTGTAATTGTAATTAGACATGTCAATTGGACTCTAATTCTGAATTAGTGTAATTGTAATTAGACAGGGTCAATTGGACTCTAGTTCTGATTAGTGTAATTGTAATTAGACAGGGTCAATTGGACTCTAGTTCTAATTAGTGTAATTGTAATTAGACAGTGTCTTCTCATTAGTGTAATTGTAATTAGATGGTGTCAATTGGACTCTAGTGTAATTTGAAGGTAACTAGACAGTGTCAATTGGACTCTAGTTCTGAATTTGTGTAATTTGAAGGTAACTTTGACTCTAGTTCTGAAGGTAATTAGACATTAGTGTAATTGTAATTAGACAGTGTCAATTGGACTTAGGACTCTAGTTCTAAAGGTAATTAGACAGTGTCTTGGACTTAGGACTCTAGTTCTAAAGGTAATTAGACAGTGTTCGTTCATATAAGATATAAAGCTAGCCAAATTTAGTATCCATATAAGATATAAAGCTGACCAAATTTAGTATCAATCAAACAACAGAAGGACACTCCACATATGTCTGCTCAATCTCATACATCAAATAATGTTGCAATTAATTAAGTACTAAAAATTTCAAATTAAATGGTTTTATAATTAACCTACATTAGATTAAAGATTGTTTTATTAAAAAATGTGTCTTGTAAGTGTTGTTCTATGGGCAAAGAATGAACAAATATTAATCCCTTGGACTTTCTTTAATGCAATGCCAAAGGCTTGTTCATATATTCATAATTTTGGGATTAAAACAATAATTTAACACCTAACAAAATTGTCATTTCATCTCAAAGATACGAAAACTGTAAAGCTACGGTCTCACATAGGGAAGAAGCTTTTTTTTTTCCTTTTGTTCTTTATAATTCCAAGAATAGGAATAACCCTTTGGGTTAAACATAAATATGAAGCTTCAACTTGAATAAAGAATGACAAGCGTGGTTTAAACAAGGAAATCTGCGTCTGAAACTTCAAGAACTTTGTGAAAGCCTATTGGCTTAACACCTTGGCGAAAAGCATTACCCTCGATGAACCTGTCAACCATATTTAGAAATCCAAATGAAAATGGCAGGAAGAATTAAAAGAAAGAAAGAAGAAATAACTCACATCTCTTTTAACAATGGATGTTTGTAGAAGCCATCTGAAATTCTTCCACTAAATTGATTGTAGTCCAAGAACCTGTGAATCAACAAAATTTCCTTCACTACGAATAATATCTTATCAAGCAATGGAGTTGTCAGGATAATGAAAAGTTCGCCCATAGAAGTAATCAGCATTCATATAAATTGTAGGAAGGCAGACCAAGACGGTTAGGAATTACGGATCTCCATAATAGTATGATATTATCCACTTTGAGCATAAGCTCTCATGACTTTGCTTTAGATTTCTCCAAAAGGCCACATACCAATGCAGATGTATTCCTCACTTATAAACCCACGATCATTCCCTAAATTAGCTAATGTGTGACTCCCTCCCAACAATGCTCGACAAAGACGGGATGAAATATGAAAAGACATGGAACCCAATTACTAAGACAGGCTTCAAAAATATGTTATCAGGTGTATTGTGCTTTAGCTAAGGAATGTCGAGCAACAAATATTTTCATATTGAGAGCATTGAAAAGACGTTCTTATAGTTTAGGCAGGAAGAAAAGCAGTAGCAACTTTGAAGATCCGTTACTTTTTCTATTTTGGAGGGAAGCCATGGGAGTCAGGGATTTAAGTACTTACAAATAAGTCAGTCTTGGAATGCGTGCTAATTCAGCGGGAATTATTCCGGACATCTTGTTGTGTGATAGATACCTGACCCGAAAAGGAAAAAAAAAAATAAAAAATCACTTCCATCGACTTCATTACAAAAAAAAAAAAAAAAAAAA